AGGATCAAACCCGGCCGCACGCATGCCAGGCGAGCGCACTACCGCTTGAGCCACTCCCCAGCCCGCATCTCTTGGATTTAATCCCTAATACCAAACCTTAAAACTTTGTTGAATCTTTTACTTGTGATTCAACATAAATGAATAACATACTTAGACTATAAACTTTACAAAAGGATATGCAATACATAACTCTTTTTAGTGTCTTTTTTTTTTTTTTTTTGACAGAAAGAGCTTAGAATTTTTCAGTATTCTGCCTTGTGCCTTGTGCAGTAAACAATCTAGAAGTTGGAGCTGGGGGTATAGTTCAGTAGTAGAGCACTTACCCAGCATGGACAGGGCCCTGGGTTAGAGTCCCAGCACTATAAAAAGTAAAATGAAGTTGGACACAAGAAGATGAAAGTAGGTTCCCATGTTTCTCCTCTTTTCTAGCCTCAAATTACTATGTACTGCTTGTATGACAAAAGAAGATTGGTTGGCATCATTTTAGTCTTGAGAGAACCTATCTTTATATAAATAGAGAATATGCATGAAACTCCCAGAGGGCAATTTTATACTAAACTTTGGTATTGACAAAATGAAGTGAAATTTTAGGGGTAGTTCACTGTGGGCTGGGAAAGGCATCTGAAGACAGATGCTTGAGTTGGTCTTTTAAGTATAGGTAAGATTAGGATCAGAAGCAGGAAACAGCATTGAAAATCAGAGAAAGTTTAAAAAAGTGAAAGCAAGTTTCATGCATTTCTAGAACATTCATAGTCTGTATTAAATGGAGCAGATGATTGAAAATAAGCTCAATAAAGAGGCCAGTGCCAGGTTTTAGAAGTCTTTGAAGCACCAAGCAGGAGAACTTGAACCAGGTTCAGCAACATGCTGACAGTGGTTGAACTGAGATGGTGCTGCAGTCTGGCTGGGCACAATTCAGGAGCCACTTGTCAAAAGAAACTAACTATTTTTAGAACTACAAACACCAAACAAAACAGCTCCTCAGGGAAAAAACCCTCAGAGCCCAACTGCCACCACCAGCTTCCACAAGCCTCTCACCCCCACACCAGCCTCTCAACCTCCCACAATCCTCCTGCTCTTGAGGCCGATTGGCTGG